TTTTTCAATGCCAGATTTTATCTTTTGAAATAATGATTAGTGGTAGTTTTAACATTTTCTCAATTATAAAGACTTATCATTTAGAGGATGAAGTCTCCATAAACTTTAGTGAACACATTGTGTTAGCCTATTATGTTCTCTACTATTTGGTTACAGTTATTAAACAATAATGGCATTCACTTTCTTACAATCAAAATTTTTGAAGGAGATTTAAGTACAAAGGGAGAGGGAAAAGGCAGAGAAGACAAATTATGCAACTGAAAGGAGTGGTTGTTTTTCTTTTTGTATCTTAAGTGCAAATGCTTCTTCACTATGTTTCCCAGATACCATCTGTTTCCAAAACAACTCATCACCAAACATAACAGAGGAAATAGGAACTCCCAATAGGAGTTAAACCTGTCAATCTGCAGAATGGTCTGAGCTTTCTCAAATAAGAAAAATACCACACTACAAAGTTGTTAATAAATTAAAGAGAGGCAATGTGTGTCACCTCAGATGATGCAGTACCCCGTTTTAGGGATTTTCATTAGAATCATAGGCAGTTCATTACTTTACGATGTTCCTGCACACTTGCTTTACCAAGTCCAAACTACATTTGAGCATTCAATAGCAAGATACATTCCACTTCAGATATGTTTGTTTGGGGTTTTTTAATTATTTTTTTAAAGCCTACTATTAAAGCCTGAATAAAGGGTCACACCCGCTGAAGGCCTCACTCCACCCACAAGTAGATATCAGTGAATGTTTGACAAAATAGAAACTGCCAGGGGCCCACCTGTGCCAGTGTTCTTTCTGCAGGGTTTTAGGAGGAGGTACAAGAACCCAATATGTATTCAGGTATATGACAACATGCCACAACAAGAGAGCTCCTTTCATCTTCAGAGAGGCTTATATTGGTTCCAAAATGCTATATGTTTATTGTTACTTCTAGAAGTTCTTACTGGAAGAGCAAGGTACCATTTCTAACCTGTTTATACTATTGAGTTTAATGATAGCACTGTGCTTACTTAGAAAATGAGTTTATCTTTTTGCTTTTCCCTCTCTGTAGTATATGGGGAGAATAAAAAAGTATTTATTTAGTTCAGTCTAATAAATAACAGTGGGGAAATAAATTATGAGAAAAGTATCTAAATTCTTTTGGTTATACACCTATATATAAAAAAAAAAAAAAATCTATGATATAAGAATATGAATTGGACAGGAACCATCCAGGTCGTTGTTTATAGATTCCTGCTATCATATCCACACATGTCAGTTTCAGATAGACTATACTGTCTGTAACAAACATGTTAAGAAACATTAGTCCCTATGTGAAATTGCTTACATTATCTATTCTGATTACATCTCTTACATCTTTTTTAAACAAGAAATCTTTAGCAAGCCTGAGACTTTTCTGCCCTTCCCCAGTCCTTCCTGTCCTTCTCCTTCATTCAAAACAATCCTCGCCTTTCTGTAGACCAAATAATTTATTTCACACAATGGAACATTCTTTACTTTCAAGCACCTTCCCAGATAATTTTATAGCTATCAGTACACTAAAAAGTGCTCCTGTTGTTCCCTTAGCAGTTCTACTAGATTAAAACCATTAGCACACTTGCATATACTCACATTATATTTTGAGCTCTTTCTGTTCATAATATGTGACTCTATTAAGATGTTATTCTTTCTTGTTCCCCATATAGATTCTGCAAATTTTGATATCTTAGTTTTCCTTAGCTTAGCTTTTAAATCTTCAATTTTACTACTACATTAATTCATCATGGGTTCTATATTCCTGACCCTGCTGCCTCAACATACTTAATTACATTATAAGCAACCATCTCTGCTCTTGTTCAATATTCCAAACAGCTTCACTGAATTTTAAATGCACAAAATGGTCGTTGCCATACACTTCATTTCTGGCTTCAGCAGTTGAGATCTTGTGCTTCGTTACTAAAAATAGAGCTGCTTCCAACTACCTGAGCTGGAAAGCTAATTACAGAGCTGGTAAACAGTGCTCCTCCCTATTGAGCAAATGGCAGAACAGAATCTGCTAATGCACTAGGGCGCACATAGTCCTGTGGGTCTTTGAAATCTATCAAGTGCCATTTATTTAATCATTTGTGACTGTCTGCTTCATGGATAAATTACCATTTAAGTAAATAACTGTTTGACTGTTGGATCAACAAATCAGGGAGAAACAGAACAATCAGCCCATTTTAGGAAAAAATATTCTAGCCTAATTCTCAAATCAGAATAATTTCACTTAAGTAAATAGCATGTTGTTGATTCAGACTAGGTAAAAGACTAGATATCTTATTTCCTGCAGTAGAAGGGTTATTAGAGGACTGACTCTTTGCAGCAGCTTAAAGACTTTTTCTTGAGAGTTATTTCTGTCACATACAGGCAAGAACAAACAACCGCCAATGTAAGAAGGCTCCTTCTTCCCTTAAAAGTACTCTCAGCTGTGTTTGCAGTACAGCAGCATAATGCCTGGAAGACATTCCCTGTTGAAAGACCTTAAGGTAGAAGTGCCCACAGAGTTTAAATGCTCCTCTATATTTGTCAATGAAACGCTGGTTTCCCCACTCTGCAGGACTGATTCTTACCATACAGCCCAATGCAAGCTTTGTTGGTAGGTTTCAGCCATCACTCAGTCAACAAAACTCAACTCATTTTCAGCCATTGCTGAGGCAATATATAGATAACACATAAGAAACTGTTATAATCACTGTGATATAGCTGCAGCCCCTAAGCAAAACTGTAAAACACCTGTTCCGTTTGTTCATATGAAACATTTTCTGGGGCCAAGATGAAATACAGCCTTTTGAAATTATTGTTTTCTTTTAATACCGAATATAGAATAAGATAACTAGATAGAAACCCAACACAAATTCTTAAAAGCATTTCTGTTTCTCCTTTCTAACCCTCCTCAAAAATAGAGACAAGAAAATAAAACCTCTAACACTGTACTCAACCAGTTAGAAAGTTTGGTGGAGGAAAAGAGTATATTAATGAGTTTAAACTATTTGTCATTGTCATGTTTCTGTCATGTAACAGCTATATACTATACACAGTGCATACAAGGGACTAACTGCTATCTGAGGTTAATTACACAGCTCATTTAGGAGAGGAGAGGATGAGCTCCCTCTTCTGTCTCCCATCTTCATGAAAAGGAAAGTCAGGCTGTCCTCAAGCCAAGCAAACCACCTCCTGTTATGAAGGAAAAGCAGTTTGATAATTTTTAGCAAAAATGATTGGAAAGAAGAAGGTAAGAAGGTAACTGTGGACAGAGGTAGAAATGGGTAGAATAGGGAAGAAGAAAAGGCAAAAAGGATAAAAAAAAAAAAAAAGGCAAAGGCATGAAGAAGTCAGACTGCAGTGATGGGAAAAGGGAAACAGGTTTCCTGCCTTCTCATCTTAAACAGAAGAAATACAGAGTAAGTCTGCACACCACAAGGCAGTCCCACAACATCACACCTAAGTCAACTCTGAAGAAGCCAATTCAGGTACCAGGACTTGCGTAGTTGTCATTTTACCACAGTGGTTAACCTGAACTCACACTATCTTGTTTCCATGGTATCCTGCGGATGCATACTAGAGTGCCTCTGGAGAAAGTCATATGCATTTTTCACATTTGAAACCTAAGTGTGTGTCTATGTGCATGCGTGTGTCTGCATACACACACACGTGTGTGTATGGGGCAGGAAGCTGGACAGTGATGAAAGAATGTGTGTGAGATTGATGGAATCCAGTGCATAAGCAACATTAAAAGTTAACTGAATCCTGGCTTTTAATCACTGATCAATCTTCCTGTATTTTCAGACCTTTCTTTCTAACCTAAATGACCACAAAGACAGTAGGCAACATATTCCTAAATTAGATAAAATGTGCTTGTTATTGTAGGGCAAATGCCTTTCAAATGATAGCATATTCTAGAAAATAATCCATGAAAAAAGCATATGCAGACAATATATGCAGTATTTTCCCTGCAACTTGCTATTTCTCCAAACGTTTGTTCTCACCTTAAGGTAGAGACGTGATAAACTTTAACCCTGGGAGCCATTTCTAATTTATTCATTCAGATTTCAAAGACACGACTTTGACAGCCTCTTTCCTCATGTGCTGCACGGACCAACCTACACATTTAAATTACTCACGAGTATTTTTAGGTGGTCTGCTTCTGCTGAGTTGAACTTGCCAAATTGATAGGGCAAGTAAGATGTGCCTCTGTTAATCTAGTATAAAGTTTCCAATCTTCTTGGCAAAAAAGAAGTACAAGAAAGAAAGGAAGGAGGGTAAAAACATGGAATGTGAGGAAACTGTTAAAAATAAGTTGCTTAATACTTTAAACATAAATTGGCCCTACTGGATCTGTCTTGGACAATCATGGAAAGGGCACTTTCATGCTCTCATACTCCATAATGACTTTTTGAACCTTACGTTATTCACACCAAAAAATTATGTATTTCGCCACACAGATATCACTCAAAATTCAAGCTTCCTAATGGGTACATCAGCATGTGCAACAACTTCAGAGCCAGAATGAGATTAATGGAATAAATTAGGGATATATTAAACAGAAGGGAATAGGAATAATTAAGCATTAACACATTCCTTCATTCAATAATTGTCTGAATTGATTAAAGAAGCACACATACTAACATATAATGCTGAAGCACATGAAGAAGAACCTTATCCCATGATAGACTGAAAGTACAGTAGTCTGCTGTATCACAGTAGCACCAACTGCAAACCAGTTCATAACTATCTGCTTATGCCTCAAAAACATAGCAACTACCTACACCAGGCTCCATTAATCTGTAGAAGTCATCAGCTGTACTTTCTGACTCCTGACCAAGTTTCATTCAACAGGGATATTTAAAGCCCTTAGATGATGAAACATTCAAATTCTCAAATTTTATGAATTTAGTAGCTGAAAATCAGCTACAAACTGGTCTCCACAGCACAGGGAGCCTGCAAGTAGGAACACAGGGTAAATACAGACTCCATCACCTTACCTCTGCTATGTGAGGCATCGGGTTAAATCCACAGAGATTGCAGACAACTTTCTTGCATTCTGTACATGTATTAAAGTTGGGGGGATCCTTAGAACCGATATTTAGTCCAGTTTTGCAAAGGGGACAAGACTCTTTAGGCTGGCTGGCTTTCTCTGGTTCCAACAGCCCAGCAGGTTTCTTCGCTTCAGCAGCCTGAGGCTTGCTATCTTTAGCTAAACCAGGTTTCTTTTCTAAATCAGACACTTTAGCTGTTAAAACACTATCCACTTTTGATGGCTCTGTTTTTTCAGCCATAGGAGGCTTGGCTTCTTTCTTCACAGGAACAGCTTTTGGAAGAGGCTGAGCCTGACCAGCTCCTTTGGGAGCTGCCTGAGAGGCTGGAGGCTGTGATGGAGGCTGAGGCTGTTTCACTGCAGGACCGGTCGGAGCAGGGGCTGATGTCTGAGACCCTGGCTGACCCGCTGTGGAGATTAAATTTGAGGCCTGGCTGAAGATTGAAGCTCCAAATCCAAAAAGTTTCCCAGTGACTGTTTCTTGTGGTGTTGTAGGCTGAGGCTTAGGGGCATCAGTGATGCCTCCTAGATTAAGGCTGAAACGCCTTGGCTGCTCTGGAGTTTTCTGAGGAGGCTGGGGTTGAGGTGCCGGCTGGGCTGGCACTGGCTTGGGACCTGCCCCTGCTTGTGGGCCCTTGGGAGCTGGTTTGGCATCAGGCTTTGGGGACGGTTTTGTTTGTAACTTCTTAGGATCATCTTTTGCCTGTGTTGGCTCAGGAGGCTTCTGAATTTTAGCATCTGGTCTAGCCCCAGGCTGAGATGTAAGCTTGGGATCTGACTTCTGCCGAGACATTTGTGGAAGAGGTTTGGAATCTGGTTTGTCCCCAGCTGGCTGTGTGTCCTGTGGCGGCTTGGCAAGCTCTGGCTTTGGGGAATCTATCACTTTCTGTTGAGTTGGTGGCGGTCTGGGACCTGCCAACTCCTGTTTCGGCCCTGGTGCTGCAGAGGTAGGCACAGTGTCTGCTGTTGGCTTCCGTATACTGGGTTGTTTTTGCTTATCTTCAGCCTGTGTTGGCTTGGCCTGATCAGACTTTGGAGTAGGATCTATTTGCTGGGAGGTCTCAGTTGGCTCAGCACGGAGTTGTTTCGATTTTACAGGGGGAGACCCAGGCAAGGAGGGTTGCTTTTTCTGTGGCAGGGGTTTCTTTGATTCTGCCAACTGAGAAGGATCAGGTTTTGGAGAAGCATCTTTCTTTTGAGCTGGCTGTGGCTGGGGAGATGGTTTAGCTGGGGAAGATGGAATGGGTGTCTTCTGTTTGGGTGGAGGTGGCTGTGGCCCAGGACCATGACCTGGTGCTAGGTCACCACCTAATGCTCTTTGCATCTGGCAGTTTAAACAGAGCCATTCATTAATCTGCAGGAAAAAAATAAATTAAAGGTATTACTAATAAGATAAGACAAAGTTAATAAAATCAACATAATAATAGGCTTTTCTAGTATTGCAATGGCTTCTTGAAATATTTCAGACTTCTGTGTAAAAAGGGAGAAATATTACAATTGATACTGTTTTGTGGTTAACATGGTCAAATGATTTTCTCATTCTTCTCCACATTCCTGTGATTCGAGCTATCACTGAGCCCATGCTTCTAATGACTTCACATTCAGTTTACACACAGCTGAATAATGGAGGATTAAAAACCCAGCAGAATGAAAACATGCACTGGAATTTCACGGGACCCAGAAGTGATTCATTTACAGCAATGATTTGCCAGAAAAAAGACAAATACTGCTAAAACAGTTTGACACATCAAGTCTGCTGACAGAAAACAATAATCAGAATTAAAGCATAGTAAATGTGTAATTACCTTTAAGCATACATCTATCAAGCTCTTCATATAGCTTATGGTTTTGGTAATAGTTTAAATCACAGAGCACAAGAATTGGCAGTAAACATGTATCCAATGAACTGGGCACAGAAGTGTGTTAATGGGCATCATATATTACAGAGACTTCCACTTTACCACCAATTTCATTTGGAATCAGTGAGGAGCTTTGCCTAAGCCCTGATGGTGAGCCATAATCAGGTTTCCCAACACTTTCCTTTGTTATTAAAAGAAGATCCCAAGGTCATTATCGTACACCTGTATACAACGGACTATTCTTTTCAAGGAGAAGGAATAAGACGAGTAATGTATTTTCCCACATTTCTCATCAATTTTAGTACCTCACAACTTTAAAACATTTTTTTCTCCTTCCAAAGAAGTATTACGTGAGTGGGAAAACATATTTCTAATAAAATACGATAAAAGAAATCCTAAGTGGTCATCCCTACCTTTGTTTTTGTAAAGCTTCAGAGTTTGAGGAGGGATCAAATAGGCTAAAGCAACACGTGGTCAGGAAGCATCACATGTTATTCTCCACATTTTCTATTGCTAGCAGAAACCTTATAGGCAGCAAAAATGCCATTCAATATGGCACAGAGTCCCACGGCCCTACACCTGCAAGGAGATGCTGCATGCAAATAAGGATTTTGTCTGTGTAATATCAAAGCTCACTGGAAGGAAAAGCTCTGAGGTCATGGACTGGGGCAAAGAATTCATAATCTTGATCTGCTTTGCCAGCTGGCCTTCTAGCAGCAAAAATTAAAAGAGAACCATTGGATGCAGCTCCCTAAAACACAATTATTCCAGTTATTCTGATAAAACATGGTATATACACACTCTGGACTATGAGCTCATTATTGCTAACAACTTCATGAAGAGATGCTCAGTTTTGGCCCCAGATGTAAGTTCACAGTAATCAAGCTACCACTCATAATAATGCTGCTTCTGTCTTCCATTTTCAGTGCAGTTTCTTCAGATTGTTCAAATAATTCTCCAATCTACTTGCAACCCATACAGCTAATGATTTAAAAAGTGAAACCGACTGAAACAAAACTGGAACATGTGTTTAAACTCTGAATTACAAAAGGAATTGAGTTCACAAGTGAACACAGGACCTAAGCAAAGATTACATTTAGCTTAACTCCCATTTTGTTTGATTGTCGATCTATATCCCTATAAGCCTCCTGTACAAGGGACAATTACTTGTAATAAGTACATCTTAATTATGACACCTAGTTTTAGATATTAGTAATCTATTTTAATTAGATACATATTAACACCATTTCTGGGTGAATTCTTAAGGGTCTTCTAGAAGTTTTAAGTTTAATCAAAGACCAGACTTCAGCCACATACTCTGAACACTCACTTCAGCTGTCTGGCTTTGGTAAAGTAACTAGGGAGGTGGACTCCTTGCTATGGTGGAGAAAGATAAGATCCTGTGAGGAGCTTTTTAATGGGCCTAAGTGAGGAATGTCTTTTCCCACTAATGACAGAGATTTAACAGAATTTTGGACAATGCACTTCTCATTGTGATTCACTGCTCCTGCTTCTTTTCCACTTGCCTCTTTTTTTTTTTTCTTTTTTTAAATGAAAGTGCTATACTCTAAAGTAAGATAACCAGATGAAACCATCACAGTAACATGTGTCTACCTGCTCTCACTCAGCTACCAGAAAAATCTAATTTTAAGTCATTCTGACATTCCTAAGACCCCAAACGAAGTAGCTGTAGGGTTGAGTGGGACCACGAAATAAGTAGTCTGAATAATTCTTATGTTTAATGTGTTCAGATCTTGATTGCATTTATGAACATTTAGGCTTGTCTTCCACATGCAGCTACTACAGTCTGACTCTACTACCTAACTGGAATCCAAAGAAAAGTTAATTCTATACTACAGTTTTCAACACAATCTTGTACAGAAGACAAAACCTTAGCTCTCTACTGTTATTTTTTCCTTAACAGGAGCAAGCTTCTGTTAAATACAGATGAACTTACACATTATTACAGATGAAGTAAAATTTACTACTGTTACAGATACCTAAAAAAATTTACTACTGTTATAGACACCTAAAATACCAATGTTTGTTTATCCTTAAAAGTCTTCCTGGATAGTAGTTCTATGACTTCCTAGTTTCTTTCTCCATATTTCTCATATCTCTACCTAGAATAAAAAGGCAAAATTTTCCAGGGCAACATGTGAGCTTTTGCAGTTCCCATCTACTTGTAAGGGAGAGTCGTCTTTGATGCTGAAGATCCCAAGCTGTCTATTTTTACACTGGTAGATAGGGGTGCGAGCTGGGTCTTATTTCTAGAAGAAATCCATATGTGATTTTCTTCATCCTGAGACCCATTCCGTTAAGTGCCATGACTAGGACTGTGAATTTGACAGATTTCATGCAGCATCTTTGTTCAGATTTCAACTACTGAAGACAGAAAGCGCTATCTTGCTTTCTAACTCACTGATGTAGAAACTGTATGCCCTATAACAACAAACAAGTATTAGAGTACATTTTACATATTCATCAACCACAATATCTTTAAAAAGCTTCATAAAGACACTACTAGTTGGGAGCACCAAATGAATTTATTCACATTGTTTTAGTAAGAACATCCATGGAGAACTACATTGAAGAAAGTGATAGCACCATGTCCCATAATCCACCTTGCTTTATGCATTTATATCTAACAGTTGACTGCAAAAACAAATACAAGCTACACTTTTAGTTCTTCTTATCCCAGACAAAGCCAACACAACTGAAGGAAATCTGGAGCCTATTCCTTTCCCCAGAAGTGTTCAGATTCATTCTAACTACACAAACCCATCAAAAGCAGTAGGAAAACTGACAGAGTGAGTTCATCAACTGGCATGCTCGATTTCTATTCCTGCAGATGATGTAGAAAAGGAAGAGAATCCAGCTTGATTCTATGACTCCAGATGTACATCAGAAAGAAATTTTGACTTGCAGATTGAACATATTTCATGTAAAAATTACTGGCACACAATATGAATATGGCTCTTAGAAGCCATTTTAACAGTCCTTTTTCAGAACAGAGATGCATTCTAAGGCAGAGTCCCATTCTCATTTAGACAAGTCATTTGGTGCCATAAAAAGGAACTTTGATATGCATAAAATATTAACATCCCTTTACATCACCACAGAAATGTAAAGATTTATAGAGCCTTTACACTGTCGCAGATATGTAAATGGACTTTGCTGACATTGCTCAGAGCTGCCTCAAACCTTTATTGGCAAAATCGGTTTCTAGTCTGAAAACACATCAGCTTATTTAGTTCCTGACAATTTCAGACAGGAGTGAGGAATCCAGAATTGGCTTTTAGCAGACACTCCTGCCAAGATGATGAGAGAAACTTGAAAAATAAAGCACTTGAGCTCATGATTTTATGCAGCTGCAGAGTGGCAGAGACAAGTGTGAGGGTGCTGGGTGTAAGAGTCCAGAAACTAGATCAGAAAATCCAGTTATGAACAAAAAAGAACAACAACTATGATGGGACAAACTCAATTAGTATGTTGACATACAACTGAAACAGTCTTCTGAACAAGCCTGGGCAATAGTGAGACAAAGTTTTCCTTCTACACCATGCTTCCATGAATAAGATCTCAACTATTCAAAGTAATTACACTGAAGCAAATGTTTAACTATTGTACACAGTATGCAACTGATGCTCATTTGAGACAAATAGATCATCATTACAAAATAAACATTTACCTTCCTTTCAGCCATCAAATGTGAAAGGCAACTAGGCAGTTTATCAGGGAACACTGATTCAAGATGCTCACAAAAATGTTGCTAGGTTCTAGCCAGCAGCATGGTCCCCATGTATCCATTCCACAAACCATAGCAATGGTTACAAGCACTCTAGCTTAGTGGTAAACCAATGTTTGAGCAAACTTTTTAAATAGCCATTTCAAAAGACTATTTTTAAATGTTACTTAGCTATTTTAAAACTACTAAAGAACATTACTGGCTGAATTATGTTATGCAGTTATCACTATCTTAAAACATATTCCACTGCTCTGTTGAAATTACTAATACAAAAAGCTATAAATTTGCATATGAACTATGAGTGTTTGGGGAACTGTTATTTTATAGCTTCTATGATTATAAATCATAAAGCAAAATAGAAACAATGTTTTGACCTTTTTTTCCTTGAACACCAGTATTTCAGAATACCTACAAGTTAAGTTTTTTACAGCCAAACGTGTGTTTAAGCTGTCTCATGCACAGGACAAGGAAAAAGATTTAAACACAGCTCAGTGCACTGCATCATGCATCACTGCAACAAATGCCAGTTGCTTTCATTAACTGCATCAAGATTTAATACTAGAAAAACACGAATGATTAACAAAATTTGTAACTGCAAATCAAGACAGCAGCAAAGAAAAGGTTAACAAAGTTCCTCTGTGTTGCACAGAGAGCATCTGAGTTAGTATCACCGGGATTTGAACATGGATTATGCTGTCTGGTTGAAGCAGGGCTGGGCCATGCTTCCTGCCTAGTGATTACCCAGCA